GATTCTCAGTGCTGTGCTTTAACCCGCTGCGCCACCAGGGAGGGCCAAATTGACATTTTTTTAATGGGTCAGTACCTGCCCCATGTTGGAAACTTAAATATTGATTTTTTTCATATCAGTTTACTATTTATATATGAAAAATAGATATTTTGACTATCATCTTTATCACTACTGTAGTGAACACTGTTAATTCTCTTTTATCCATTTCCTTAGTGTCTGTTATTGAGGGACAGTACAATATTGTTAAGAGCTTGAATTCTCAAATCAGTCTGAAGTGAATCCCATTACTGCTTTTTAAACCTTTGTGACATCAGGCAAACAAGCTACCTCTTGGTACCTTAGCTTTTTTTTTTTTTTTTAATCACTTAAAATGGGAGTAATAGGATTGCTTGAGAATTAAATGAGCTAGATATCTAAACCAGAAGTTTAAAAGCATTAGCTTACATCAGAATCAGCTGGAGGACTTGTTAAAACATATTGCCAGGCTCTACTCCCACATTTCTGATGTGAGAATTTACATTTCAGACAAATTCCTGATGGTGTTGAGACTGCTGGCTTAGGGACCTCCTTTCTCCTTCCTCCCTTTCTCCTTTTCTCCCTCCCTCTTTCCTCCTTCCTTTTTTCCCTCCTCCTTTCTCCAGCCTTCCTTAGCCTTTCCTTTCTTGCTTATTTAATCTGTGCTGCACATTGTGCCTTGGTACTGGAGGAGATAAAAATGAGAGAAAGATGTGATTCTTCCACACAAGAGGTGACAGTCTGAGAGTCTTTTCTTAAATAATTACAGTATTACATATACTAAAATAACAGTGTAATATAAAAAGAATATATGCCTAGTTTGGTTGAATTTATTTTACTTTATTTTATTACACATAAGGATGAATCAATCAATTTTACTGTTGGGGAGATTAAAAAACACCACTTTAGATGAATGACTTAGACTCAAGTAAATAGCATTTATAAGGTTTTTCCGTTGTTAATATAACTCTTCCCAGGGTGCCCTCAGTACTAGAATAATTAGTGCTTTAAATAATAATTTAAATATTATTATTTAATAATTAGTGCTTTAAAAATTGAGTAACGTCAAGATCTAGAGATCTTGAAACATCTGCCCTGTTAAAGATGATGATTGTACTTTTAGTTGTGAAATTTTAGGTGACTCTTACAGTTTTGTGGGGGACTGTATTATACCATGCTTGAATTAAAAAAAAAAAGAATATGTATTTTAAGAAACTCATTATAGAAATACTATGTTGTAGTGGAGGTAGGCAGTAGGGCAGCGGGAACAAAGGAGAGTCTTGGAGCCCTCAGTGGCTTGTTCAGACTTTTAACGATCTTTCTACACTATTTTTAGTGAGGCAGGGGCAGGCAGGGGTCTGGGTGGGGCACGGTGTGGGCAGGAGGCTAGCAGGCCTCACAGCCCCTAGTTAATCTTACTCTCTGGCATTCTCTCGTGGTCTCTTTCTCATAGCCATACTCAACTGCACCATCCTCTGCCACTGTTCAGTCCTTATGTGCTCAGCTTCCAGGCTCAGTTGTGCCCATCTATTCATGCCCACCCCATACTTCAGGTGTCCATCATGAGGCATGTGCATCCTGAGCCCACGTTCCCAAGCACCCCTTGTATTCAAGGCTGTATGTGATAGCCACAAAGGCCAGTGGTGGAAAAGCCTGAGCAATCTTCATTTACCCAACAGTTGTATATAACCTCCTGATTTCTCCTCATTTCCATTCTCAGTCCCCAACCTTGCCAACCCACATACACAATATATTCTTTCAGAAACTTAAGTCTGATCATGTCTTTTGCCAAACATTCTTTCATAGCTTTCAAAGTAAATTTCAGAGTCCTTTATGTGATCTGTAAGGCCTGTATGATGTCTTTTTAAGGTATCCCTTTCACCATTGCTCACCATGATCAAGGTATATAAGGACCATGGAACATGCCAAATGCTTTTACCTTTGTATATAGTGTTCCTTTTGCTTGGAATATTTCTTTCCTTATACCCTTTGCCCTGTTAACTCTAATTGCTCTTTCATAGCTTAGCTTAAATATTTACCTTCTTGAGGAGGTCTTCCCTGACAACTCTCCACCACTGCTTTCTATCCCAGTCTAGGTTTTCCCTATGGTTAGTGTCCTCAAGTACCCTATACTGCTGCTTCATAACAATTATCCCAACATTAACCCAATTGTAGCAATGTACTGATCCATGTGATTTCATCCTTTAGTGTTTTTTTCCCTAGTTGGTGTGCATTTCCCCTGAAGTCAGGGGCCATGTCTTTTTTTGAATCAAAGAATGAATGAGTAAACTTTTAATTGAATAATTAATGTGACTTAGTTTCAGTATGTAGTTTTAATTGATTGCCTGCAGTAACCAAAACAGCCACACAGTGTCACTAAAGTTTAAGCCCTTTGGGTGCAATCGATGACTAATTTGTTATAAATTATGGTCCTAAAATTTCCTCATTTATATTCTAGTTTAAAAAATTTATCACATATTTATCATATATAAGAATATAATTATGTTTCTACATACCTATTCCATTACTCTTTCAAGCAGAGAAAATTTGTAGTAATGTGTATATAGGGAGAATAAGCATTTTATAGATTTATATCAGACTTCAAATTTTTTACTGTAGCAGCGCAGATTGCCTTCCTGTGTCCATGCAGGCATCTCTTTTAACATACTGTCTCTGGTAAAAGCAGCAGCAGCAGTAGCTGTCTTCTCACCGGTATCTATACAGTGTCCGTTTTTCCCTCTCTCTTTTTCCTAATAAACCTGCCCTTTTAAAATGAAAAAGAAAATTACTGCAGTAAATTAGTTATAACTTTTGAAAATATGTGATATATTAAATTTTTAATAATGATGGTTATTTTGGATACCTTTTGCCTCCCAAAATAGAATATAGGGAGTAAGGATTTTTTTTTCCACATCTTTCCCCTCCCCAGAAAATGAAGTAGGCACAACCTAAATGGATATATAATTAGTATACTTTTTCTGATCTTCTGAATAATTTTTTTCTACCAAAGTCTTTAAAACTCTTGACAGTCATATTTTAATTAAACTTTATTTAAAATAACAATCATATTGGTATGAGTATATAGTAACAATAATTTTTTTTGTCTTGAAGCTACACATGGCAATACTTACAGTAAGTACACATTTAAAGATGAAACTTCTATCTACTTCATTGTCTTTTAGCAGGTGAAACATTACACAATATCCTCTCTGAATTTATCTGTTCTAAGACATTTTGGAATTAACATAGAATCTGTCAGAAGTCTTAAAAAAATCAGAGACTATGTATCTCTTTAGTGTATTACAATATAGAAGAAATATATAGGATATATTAATTATCTGCTTCATCTATATTGTCTATCACGTCTCATTTTTAAGTTACTTTATAGACCAAACTTTTTGTTTCTGAAATATCATAGAATTTTTGATGGTTTGAATACTTCTGGGAATAGTATGGTGTTTATGGCTAAGAATAGAAAGAAAATGAGATGACATTGAAAGTCTTAGATTATGATTTATTTAAAACTTTTTTAAAACAATAGATTATTTAGAATTTACTTATAGCTCAGTCACAGTAATTATAAATACCTAGTTATCATTTTCCTTGTAGCCAGTGTCCACAGAATATTCTGAAGACTCTGTGTTCACAACATAAGAACATAATTTATCTCTCTGACTTGAAATATATGTAGAAAATATTTATAACATTGAATATTTATCTATTTCTAGCTTGACAGATATATGTCATATATGTATAGTAGTACTCAGTAATATAGCTCAAAATGAATTCTTCACATAAAAATGAATTTTGTGACAGTTACAGAAACTAAATGTTTTTTTGTTTTTTTCTTAAATAGCTTTACACAAATCCCAAGGAACCGGAGGTAAGAACACACCCAGAGATAGGTATATTAAATATGTTTATATGAGTTGAAGCTATAGATTATATTACTAGACTACCATATGAACCATAGAACTCATAGTGAGATCCACTTCTCTGTGTTTTATTATAAACTTTACCAATTCTTTGAGAATTGGTACCTGAGGGATATGAACAAAACCATTGAGTAGAACTGAGCCTGTTTTCTAACATTTCAACCTTTAAGAATCTCTGTTTATATAAAACTATATTACTTATTATAAAAGAATCCTTTCTGGTTTTGTTTTTTTGGAAGATAAAGTATAATTCTAAGCTGTTTTATTGCCAATTACATTCTAACTCTTGACCTTTTCATAGACTTTCAGAAGTTTACCTCTTTGCTACTCTCTAGATTTTATTCTTCTGCTTATTGAATTCCATTCCTCCTCAGGCCAACTTATGTCTAAGTCTTTCACAAAAATCTCTTTTATTTTGTTCACACTGATTTCTTTCTTCTTCATAATTTTTTCCCCAGCAGGACCCAGCAATTCATGTAGATTACTTATTTTCCCCAACCAGATTGTGAATTCTTGAGGACAGGAGTTTTCTATATCCTAGAGTATAATATAATATAATAGCCTGGATACATACTGTTACTTGTGTGGTTTATTTTGAATGGCAGCTGTGGTTGTGGCAAAGAAATGGAGGGAGGAGCTCTGTTCTTTCCTTTCATTCTTCTCTTTTTGTCTTCCTCTTCACCACCTCCCTTCCTCTTTCCTTGCTTTCAAGTTTTCCTTCTCTAAACCTATGGATTTTAACCAAATGGCAGCATTCAAGACTAATTTAGCTTTTCACATCCTTTCTTAGCAAGATTATTAATAGTGAGCTATGTGCACAGTGGAAGAAAACTGGTGCATATATGTGGGTGATAATGTCTTAATGCCAAAACAAGCCCTTTTTACAGTTTTTAAAATCTCATTTAGTTTACAAATGCTTACCTCCTCCCATTATGTGTTAATAGAGTGGTCTTTCATCAATGTAATAAGTTATTGTTCAGCAGTGAAATGTTGAACAGATTGGACTTAACAACAGAAAAATCTTGAGTGGGAAGAAAACTACTAAATAAGTTTTAATGCAGGATATGTGTGTATATAATAGTGAAGCTAGGAGACAAAAACTTATGACATGAAATTCTGAGCTATAATTTATGTCTCAGAAAAAAGTATTTTGAACATTTACAGGTTGTTTCCTGCTATAGCCATGATCCCTGAACTCCATGTGTATGTGGCATACTTTTGATTACTAGAAAATTTGGTGTCATGTTTGAGATTATTAAATGACACAAAATATCACATGAGACTATGGTGACGGCACATGGGTGAATTGGTAGTGGGAAGTCCAAGGGGTTTACAACCGAGATGGGAAAAGGCATAAAATGAAGAATGATGTAAAATATATCTATATACATATATAAAGACACAAAATATCACCAAATGAATGAGTAATCATTATAACTATGGTACAGCAATATTCAGAGCCTAAAATTACCATGGAACCACATTGTTTGATGGTTGATATATTGTGGTTGCATCAAGTCATTGACACAGTTTACCTCCCTGATCTCATTCTTTTATATGTTCACAAAACAATATTGTCATATAAATAGTCTTTGGCATCCATGATATGGTCCCACATTTTTTCATTCATATTTTAAAAGTGTGCCCTTCCCTAAATAAAGTTGCAGAAACAATAGCAATATTAATATTAGTAGATATGACTATCGTGAGGACCAAAGTCTTATTGTTTCACCATCTGTCTGTTCCTTTGTACATATTGGAAGTGGTTAATATCTAATCTTTTTTTATAAAAAGATTTATTTATGTATAAAAGAACTGGTGTGCAGGGCAGAGGTGTGGGAGGGTGAGAGGATTCACCAGAAACAGAGTGGAGAGCAGAACAGGCAGATTTACTGAAATACACTGCTGAGGGGAGCAGCAGGTAAGACAAAAAAAGTTTGCTATACCATGTGGTTTAGCTCCCTGGCAGGAGATGAACTCATGCTGTAGTGGCTGTTAACATCTTAACCTTTGTGCCATGAGAGAGGCCAGATCAATATCTTCTCTTAACAGACTGCTTCAGGAGCAGAACTATAAACGTTTCTAGTGTCTTTATTCTATAAAATCTTTCTAGACCTCCCTGGTGGCCTAGGGGTTAAGTCTCAGCATCTGTCATGCTATAGCTTGAGTATATTTCAGTAAATCTACTTATTCTACTTATTCTGTCTCTGGTGAATCCACTCAATCCCCCCTTGCCCCATACCTCAGGCCTACACTCTATGCAAAAATAAATAGACAAATAAAATAAAACTTATTTTTTAAAAATCCTTCTAGAATAAAGTCTTAATTGAACATGAACTCTCTCTTGGCTGGATATTTATACAAATATTACTTGGGTTCCCTATATGTGCCTCAGCTTACTAAAGATATAAATGTATAGGAATTACAAGATAGGCAAGATACCATTCCTCTGGAAATTTACCTTCTTATGAGAGAGGATAAACAATTAAAAAGTGAACCAAAATTAGCAAATCAGTTTTAAGTAGGCAAAAATAAAAGAAAGTGGTACCCTGGAGAGTGCCTGGAGGGGTTGGAGGGCCTTACATGGAAGGCCTCTCGGAGGGGCCAAAGGACTCAGCCTATGAAGGTCCTTGAGACACAGTGGCATGTAAATGGCAGAATAGCTTAGTAGTTAGCATTGCTGGCATGGAATAACATTCCAGCTCCACCACTTACTAGCTTCATATATTATGAGGATAATACCTATCTGAGTGTTGGCTACATAGGAATAAGCATATGTAGGACATTAAGGCAGTGTCTAAATATATTATCATGATGATCATCAATGAGAGATAGTATGTTCCAAAGTAAATCTGTGCAATGGCCTTAAGGTAGGGAAGTATCTTGCATATTTGTGTACATAAAGGGTGCCTTGGGAGTAGAGCTTATTAGTAAATGCAAGGGAGAAGAAAAAGAAAAGGCAGAAAGGTAGCAGAGGCAGATGAGATTTGTGAGCTAAAAGCGTAAACTTATCCTAAAAGCAATGGAAATCATTGGGAAGTTTTACGCAAAGGAGAGATTTGTAGCTTAATATATAGCTATAAACCAGAAAGAGTTATACTAGGAGTAGTTTGGAAGCAAGTAGATCAGATAGGGTATGATGTTGGTGACCCGAATAGGTCAATAACACTTTAGTTTCAAAGAATGAGATGGATTTGGATATGCTTTGGAAAGACCTGAAAAGTCTTGACAATGGATTGGAACGTAAAGAAGGAAAGGATGTTTATGTTGCTAATGCTTTAGTTCATGTCAGTATATTCAGTATGAAAAATAAAGTCATTATTAGTAGTTTAAAGGTTCATCTATATTAGGCAAAACATTTGTATGAAAAGCAGGAAAAGTTTTATGAAGACAAGACTAGTGCCTATTGTAAATATACCTTAATTGATCAAAGTCAAATGAAGTTATTAAGGTTTAGTATCTTCTGTAAAAAAAAAATTATACATGACTTTTTCATTAGGTGATTGAGGGGGCCAAATAATAGTATTGATAAGATGATCAACTATTGAAGGACTTGCTTTTGATATAATTTTTAAAAATATATCAAAAAGTTAGAGTAAGTTGAGAAAGATGAGTGGGCAGAAATAAGTGTTGTTTGTTTGTTAGGGCACTTAAACCCATATCAATGCAGAAAGGGCAGGCTGCTGTGTACCTAGAGGTGTGAAGTAAACCTATTGCTATTGGTACTTTAGCTTTATATACATTAACTATTGTACTCACAAATAATACTTCTGAACTTGGTTTGAATTCTCAAGTATACTGTCTTGCTAGCAAAATATTTTTCTTTTTTAAAATTAACTCCATTGCAAACCATTCTTTCTAAAATTGAAGCAACATGAGCCAATTTCCCCTGGACTTGATCATTTATTATTAATTTGTTTTTAAAGGTTTTATATCACTAGAGCTGGGAGACCAGATCTTTATGATCTATCTAACATCCTTATCCCATGGTGTCAAGGAACAAATACTGAAATAGGCATATGAAAGGCATTTCTTGTGTTCTGACTTTAATTCATGCCCTTTGTAGCAAATTCTGCAGTTCTGTGGACAAACTGTTCAATGTGTCTGGGTCAGAGGTTTAATTTAACTACTATTCCATTATTTTAAATGGAATATATCTTGTGAGAAAATTTGTCCCTTTTTTATTGCCAGTTTTCATAACAGCGATGGGAGTAAATAATAGTAATAGTTTTTAGTGCAGGATTAAACAACAAGGAAATAAGACCTGATGTCATATATCCTGATTCCTTTTCTAACTTTTCTAGTTTCTAGTTTATATATTCCCATTCTAGTTTCTTCCGAACCACACAATAACCTCTCAGTAGCCCTCATGGTTTTTACTTCCCCTCTTCATTTTTAAAATAGCCATGGTAATCTTTTAAAACTACAAATTATGCCATGATCAAAACCCTTCAATGGATTCTAGTTTGTTTAGAATAAAATCCAAATCTTTCATCGTTTGGACAAATCTCTACAACTTTCACACTCTCCTTGCTTTCTCATCGCCATCACTTGGCCTTCTCCCTGGTTCCAGAAGAGGCTTCCTTTCCTACTTTAGACCTTACATTGCTGTTCCATTTTCCTGGGGATTCCTATTTCTCTCTGGCCTGCACATAACCAATTTCTTTTCCCACTGAGAATCAGCTCAACCATCACCTCTTCAGAGTGGCCCTCCTTGGTCCTTTCAAGCTAAATCAGTACCCCTTCCATTAAATTTATTCTAAAGCCAGTGTATTCTTTATCACAGCATGTTCTTAATCTGTTCATATTATTTAATATTGCTTGAAATGATCTTACTTATTTACTTTATTGGCTAACCCTCCCGCCAGGCTGTGTATTCCAGAAAAACAAGAGCCTTTATGTCATGTTCACCCCTATCATATCATACCACCATGTGACTCCTGTGCCAGACACAAAGTAGATGTTCAGTATATATCTGTTATTCTAACGAAGGGTTTCTCACCTAGCTCCATTGTCATTTACCTATGCCACATCAGACTACTTTGTGACTTAGTTTCTCTAGTTTTTCCAAGTATAACAATAGAATTTTCCACCTAAACATTTTAGCATGAAGGAGAAAATTGACTGTTCTTTTTATCTGGAAATAATACTCCTGAATAATATAATGCTGAATAATGCTATGGGTATTGAATAGTAGAATATAATAGAAATAAGTAAGATAATTTCAAGTAATATTAAGTCCTATGAAACAAACAGATATGTTGATAGTATAGTAAGTATATAATGCAAATGTACCTAAGTGAAATAAATCAGAAAGAGAAAGAAAAATACCAGATGGTTTCATTCAAGTGGTGGAATATAAACAAAGCAAATGAACAAAACAAGACAAAAGCAACTCTTAGACTCTGAGAACAAAATGGTGGTCACTAGCGGGGAAAGAGGCTGGGAGGGAGGAGGATGGAAAGAATGGGTAGAAGGGATTAATTTTATAGTGGTAAATGATACTGGAACTTTGGTGGTAGGTACAGTTCATATTTATGAAGGCTTGATGCTATACTCCTAAATATTATATAATGCTGTAAACCAATGGCCAATCAATGGCAAACAAAAATGAAAACGTTCCTCCATTATCAGGTAAGATTCCTTTTAAAAACAATTGCTTTCTCTATTTCCTCTGCTATTTCTAGAAAGTGACTGAGATATACCAATTCAAATTCAAGTATACAAAAGAAGGAGTCTCTATGGATTTTGACAGGTAGTATCTAATTATTTAGTAAACATGAGAAATATATAGGTTTGAAATATATAAGCTTCTTAAGGCAAGAAGTATGCCTTGTATTTCTTTCTTTCTTTTTTTTTTTTTAAAGATTTATTTATTTGTGCACACAGAACTGGATACAGGCTAGAGGCTCAGGGGCAGCGAGAGGCTTCACCAGAGACAGGGTGGGGAGCAGAACAGGCAGATCATGGAAGTACACTGCTGAGGGGAGCAGCAGGCAGGTCAGGAGAGGTCTGCCACGCCATGTGGTCACCTCCGGGGCAGGCGGGAGTCGAACTCATGCAGAAGCAGCTTTCAGATTCTCAGTGCTGTGCTTTAACCTGCTGTGCCACCAGGAAGGGCCATGCCTTGTATTTCTTTTGTAACTTTTCTGCCAGTCCTATACTATAGAATTAAAACTATATTTAAAAAATAACTTTAAAAAGAGACCATAATAATTGTTCAGATTACTAAGGTTCACAGATGAATCTTTACTTTGCTTCTTTTTGTAGGTGATATAATAGGGTCTATACACAGTTACATTTAGGGCTAAAAGGTTTAATTTCTAAGACAAAAAGACCTAGCTTGGAAGCCCATCTCTATTACTGGCTATGTAAATTTGGCTAGATTACTCAATCTACCTAAACATTAATATTCTTTTCTGTATAGAATTAATAATATGCTTGTTGTGATCATTGAGTTGTAATGCATACATAAAACTCTGTCATGCCTGACTCATGATAAACACCAGTGGCACCTAGAATGGTGGTGATGGTAGTAATTCTTGGACAGAGATTGTATTAAAAATGCTGTATGCAAAAAAAAAAAATGCTGTATACATGATGCTGATTGAAGACTATATCTTGCCACTAACCCCCAAATTTTCAATTGTTTAGGACAGTATTGATCCTCTCTGCTCTCAGTATGTCCAGAGTGGGCCTGGAATAGTAAAACCCATGAACTATTTGTCCATAAACACAAGTATTCTCATCTGCTTACTCTACTATGTCACATAAATGTATTTCCTGTGTCTTAAAATTTCAGGTATAATGTATATTAGTGTGTAAAATACAAAGAGAACATTTGCTTCATAAGGTCCTCAGTGCAGATGGAGATGTATTATAAATTGCAACATTATTCCTTTCCAGTAGTTCTTGGATGCAGATAGAGCCAAGTGTTGCTGATAAGATGACATAGAGGTAGAAGAGTTGGATGATGGTGAAAACCCTGTGGAGTGGAGGGCTCATTTTTCAGGGTGACAAATGGCCCCAAAAAGAATGGCTCTGAAGAGAAATGTGACCTAATTTTCATTTTTTTTGTATTGTTAACTGCCTCATAACTTAATGCAAGTTTGATAGTCTGAAGATTTACTCTCATTTGTACAGAGAAAACTTGGATGTGACAAGAAATGTGTTCTAGAAATGATAGTTAAAATATTAATCATCATAAGCTAACCTTTGCATAGCACTTGTATATAACACTTTTGTATGATGCAGATTGTAAATCACTTTTCATACATAATCTCTCACAGAAAATTCTTTTTTACTCATTTAAATTAAAATATAAGTACTACTGACAACCAAATAAAACTCTTGTTCTGAAATCTCATGCTGAGATGTTAGCAGTGAAACATAAATTTCTTAGAAACTAAAAGTAGGCATTTCTTTCAAAAATGGTTCATACAAAATTATCATATCAACTCTTCCATATTAAAGCCATTTTCCTTTTAAAAAGAGTGTAAGGGAGTTTTGAATATATTTTATGTGAATATAAGTTTAGGACTATGATGTCCATGTTGTCCTTCACTTACCAGGTTATATTCTAATAAACCTATTGTAAGTTAAAAAATATTGTAGGCTCTCCCTGGCAGCCTAGGGTTTAAGTCTCAGCACTTCCACAGTGAGGGCCCACCGAGTTGGTCTATGTTAGAGCCCTGATCAGGAAGTTAATCCACATGGTGCAACAGACCTCTCCTATTTTACCGCTGCTCCCCTTAGTATCGTATTTCAAGGGATCTGCCTGTTCTTCTCCGTATTCTGTCTTTGGTGAATCCTCTTGCCTACACTGCAGTTCTAATATACAAAATAAATAAAATTACTTAAAAAATATATTGTAAGTAAAAAAATGCTACTGCCCAGCATCCTGAGGAAATACTGTACCATGTTCCTACTGAAAGCAAATCACTTTCATACCACTATATGTCAAAAAGTGTTAGTTGAACCATCATAAGTTGGGGATTCTGTGAGATACATGGCTATAGTTCTTCACTCTGGTAACCTATTTCAAATTGGTTTAATCCTTGTAGATAAAAATAAGTAGTTTAAAATTGAAAATGAGTAAGTGTGTTCATTTAATAGTCTGTCTTATGAGTTCACACTGCTTCGGGAATTCAGTTACTTAGCACTGTTTTTCACTATTGAGTGTTCACTATATGAAAAGCTTTATGCAAAGGAAAATGTATTGCAGTCGTAGAAACTACTCAAATGTGAGAGATTTTGGAAAAGAAATCTTTAGAGAGAAATAAAAATGTTTTGTTGAAAGGTAGTTTAGTCCAGTTTGTTGATTGATTAATTAATTCAACGATGTTTATTGAGTAGTTACTATAACTTGGTACTGTGGAGATTAAAGATATAGCCACTTTCAGTCCAAAGGGAGACATACAGTTATAAACAGGGTTAAAGTATACAGAAATCATCAGGGACTTTCTTGAGGAGACTTCCTTGAGGAGGTGACAGATGCATGAGGGTTAAAGGATGCATTAGGAAGTAAGAAAAATCACACTACAAGCAAAGTGAATAGCTTATGGAAATACACATAGGTGCAAAGAAACTGAGATGTAGTTGTAGATGAAGATGGAGGTGAGGATGTGGCTATTCATGAAAAACTACACTCATCATTCTTGAACTTGATTGAAAGTTGGTGGATGTCATAGAAGAATGTTAAGCAAGAAAGATTAGAATATTTTTTCCAGTAGTGATGTGGAGAGTGCTTTTTAGTGTGGGTTTGAAAAAAGTAATAAGAATAAATAGTCATTGTTGTAATCCATGTAAGAGTAAGGAAGGGTACACCTTTGAGAGATAATCAGATAATAGAAAAGCCCAGAGTTGATAATTATTTAGTAGGTATAGAAATGTGTATAGGCTTATCTCACAAATTAACTTAGTGTCTAAGCAACTTCACTGAGATAATTTGCACCAGAGTCAATATTAGATTTCAGGTCTCCTAATTTCAAATCTGTTGTTTTCATTATTATAGCATGAGGTTTTTTGTAATTTCTTTTTAAATCAGGTCTTTAAAAACAGTCTTAAGGGAACTTGCTACTTAAGTTCTTTATATATGTATTGCTAAAAGTATAGCCACAAGTCTAACTTACATTCTAAACAGTCTGAAGAGTGTCCTGATATTTAGTTTACATTTTTTGCTCACATAGTAAAATGTTTTGGTTTTTTGGAATAGATTTTCAATATTATATATGATTGGATAATGCACTGTTTTTCTATGTGGTTATAGCCGTAGTACAAGCTTCGAAAGTGGGACAAACAGTGATGATGTTAAGAAAGCTAGTGTACTGCTGATCCGTAAATTGTATATACTGATGCAGAACCTTGGCCCCCTTCCTAATGATGTTATACTTACTATGAAACTCCACTACTATAATGCAGGTAGGTAGAGACCTCTTATATAATTCCTTCTTTAATACTGAAGTAGTATTTTTTGTTAGTGAAAGATTTTACAAGCATCTGGGAAAGATATATGCTGCTTCAAATGAAAGAGCAATGACTTGTTCTATTGAAACTCATGGTTTTCTTCCCTTTTCATTTTGCAGTGACCCCACATGATTACCAACCCCCTGGTTTTAAAGAGGGGGTAAACTCACACTTCCTGTTGTTCGAGGGGGAACCTGTAAATCTGCAAGTGGGACTGGTCTCCACTGGTTTTCATAGCATGAAAGTAAAAGTCACAACTGAAGCCACCAGAGTATCTGATTTGGAGAACAATCTCTTTCAGGAGAACAGCATTACTGAGATTGCCCATCAGGGTCTAGACTGTGATGAAGAAGAAGAAGAATGCAACAATCAGGTAAGGCAAAGCTTAAGTGAGACTGCATTGCTTCAGTTACACCTAAATGACATCTTTCAGTTCCTACACAGGTCATATCGTAGTGACAGGGTCTAATGGAGTGTCCTAGGTATAAAGTCTGAAACAAGACTCACACCTGATTTCAAGGATTCTTCACTCTAAAAAAAAAAAAAAAGATTTCAAGAAGGAAATATACTTTGTTTTATGAAATTATTTATGAATAGGAGAAAAAAAAAGGTTTTCCAGTATACTTCTTTCATAAAAGGTACCCATACATTTAGAAAATTTGGTATTTTCTTTTTTTCATTTTTTATACCTAACATTTTTAGGATTTAAGAATATATTCTAGGTATTTATTCATACCCTCTGGCAGTATGAATAAAACTCTTGATTATTCAAGAGGAGTGATTTGTTGGGAGGGGGTTGGGTGAGCAAAAGTTTATGGGCAAATTCAAGTCAGAATGAAAACAAAATTATGGTCAACTCTTGGTTATATAGAGGGACAAGCTTTGGTAGTAAGTAGGAGGAAAACTAGGTAGCTGGTGGGGCTGGAGTTACCAGAGCCAATTAGACAGTAATCTGAGCCCTTTGCCTCCCTACTTCTTCCAATAAAGACTTGGAGTTGAATACTTGCTGGGGTCCCCTGTGCCCAAGGTAAATTTACCCTTAACTGAGTAGTGAGGTTTACTTTATACCAGCATTATATTAAAAGGGTTCTGAGTTAGACATAAACATTTTTCAGATTGCTAAGTGGTTGCTAAAATCTGATTTTCAGGAGATATTTTGAGATTAGGATTACATGAGTCTTGCTCAAAATTTTATGACTGAAGTACCTCTTGAGGTTTTTTTCTCATCCTTTAACTATCATGTTTATTATATTGAAGCATCAATTAATTTGTGGAAATAACCAAACAATACATGTTTTCCATTATTACACATTTTCACAATGTCAGACTTTAGAATTTGAATCAACTTTTTTCTTATTCCACCCAAGGAAGATATAGCTAATATAGCTAGGTTGAAAAAGAATAAAAGTTAAGAAAAGAATGAGCATGTTTCAACTAGATTTTTATCTTTTAAATTTAAAAATTCCTTTTTTTTTTTTTTAAAGATTTATTTATTTGTGCATCCAGAACTAGGGTACAGGCCAGAGGCTCAGGGGTGGCGAGAGGCTTCACCAAAGACAGAGTGGGGAGCAGAACAGGCAGATTGACAAAATACACTGCTGAGGGGAGCAGCGGGTGGGTCAGGAGAGGTCTGCTGCGCCATGTGGTCACTTCTGGGACCAGGTGGAAATCGAACTCATGCAGAAGTGGCTTTAGCTTCTCAGTGCTGTGCTTTAACCTGCTGCACCACCAGGGAGGGCCCATAAATTTAAAAATTCTTTTATCAACTGAAATGAAAGCAGGACAACCTGAGAATAAATAGTTAAATTGATAGATTAAATAAGGCACGTGACAAATACTTCTCAAGCATACATTGAGTTGAGTAGAAATTACATTTCAAAACTGCACTTCGTGGTGAATCAATTCTAGTTCCTCTCTCAGACAGCCTGTCATGAGAGAACTTAGTAAGTCCAGTGACGTGTTTACTACCTTTTCTCACTAAGAATTCTGTTCTTTTCCCTCATTGAACACATATACATACATCAATACTTGTGTATATTTGTAGAACCCCATAATGATTTTCAAAATTATTTTATTTTGAATTATGTCACATATACAACAGAATGTAAGAAATAATATGTACAGTTTAAAGACTGACGTGAGCATTTATATACCTTCTATTCAGGCTAAGAAATAGACATTGCCACTACTTTAGAAGCCACTGTGTGCCCCCTTCTCAATGTATCCCCTCCTTTTCCAAAGATTACCACTTGCCAAACATCTGTGATAGCTCTTTCCTGGCTCTTTATGGTTTTACTATCTATGATCTTATCGGCTTATTTTAAAATTTTATGTAATTGTTGTATTCTAGGTATTCTGTGATTTGCTTCTTTTGCTTGATTATGAAAAAGGGATTTATCTATTTGTGTATGGACCTTTACTTTCACTGTGGTAGAATATTCTACTATAGATAGACATCCTTTTTTTTTTAATTGTTATAAAAATTCATGTACATACTCCTGGTATACATATGTGTATATAGACTTCTGGGATAAGTTTGTTTATGTATACAGGAACTGGTATGCAGGGCAGGGGGGTGAGAGGATTCACAGAGACAGAGTGGGGAGAAGAACAGGAAAATGTACTGAAATAAACTGCTGAGTGGAGCAGCAGGTGGGTCAGGAGAGATCTGCCATGCCATGTGGGTCAGCTCCGTGGCTGGGGATCGAACTTGTGTTTTAGTGGCTGCCGATAGCTTCATAGTGCTGTGCTTTAACCCATTGCACCACCAGGGAGGGCCCTAGGGCTTGCACATTTCCAGCTTTATTAGGTCATGTAAAACTATTTTCCAAAGTGATTATATGAATTTATATTCTCCTAACAGTGGGGGAAACTGTCCTCCATTCTTGCCAGTAACTAATATTATACAAGTTTATGCTTTTTGCCTTTTTACTGAATGTGAAATGGTAATCCCTCATGATTGATTCACATATCCCTAATTATTAGTGAATTTGAGATAATGTGTATTAGCATTTAGCACACATTTAAATTTGTTATTTTTTTCTTATTCTTAATTTTTAAAAATTTTATAATAGTTTATTTTTACATATTTTTGTGCATTTTTCCATCTCAGTTATAATCCCCTTGGGTTTCCCATCACCAAATCAACTGTGTGCCATCACCAAAGCCTAGTGCACTTCCCTCCCCCCCCACCACTGTTTTTTATCCCATTCCCCACTCCACCCCACAAAATGTCTCTGGTATATAGCTGTTCATCATTATCATTATTTTCTTGCCTGTTCCATTATATTCCTGCTATGAGAGAAACCATCCGGTATTTTTCCTTTTCCTTCTGGCTTATTTCACTAAGCATGATCTTTTCCAGCTCCATCATTGTTGCTGCAAAAGACATATGTTT